CTTAATTGTCAAAATGTAAACTGTCATGAGTTAAGTAGTAAGGTCATCAATTAAAAGTGTAGTAAAGATATACAAAACAAGTGGTCATGTAATGTTGAGTATGGATTATTTTTACCTAAATTATAAAAAGTGGTGTAAGGACAAGTGAATAACAATAATAATAGTCACTGGTTTCATTGTAATTTATAATCTTATTTCAGTATGATTTATTCATTATTTGTGTCTTACTGATAACTAAATTGTATTGATACTACTTTAGTTGAATGTTATGTACATAACATAACTGTCATGCTATAAGACACTTTGTTATGGCTTGTGGTCACTAATCGATGGCTCGTGTCATATTGCCTTATCAGGATTCCGATTATACATTAACTCACCTGGGAGGTCAGCAAGGCCGGTGAACTATAATATGAATTGGTATACCGATAAATGAACCCTAATCAAGGCCTTGGCGTTAATGGGTCCTCGAGTTCTTTCTGACCTATTACCCAAGTAGGAGACACAAATACGCAACAGATCAGTTCTCTTTTGTACCTAATTCAATCACGACTCAAAATTTATAAAATACTGTACATGAAATGACTGATCGCACAGAACACAAAGTGGGAAATCATACTTTAAACTCAATCATAGCATAAGTGATAGAGGGTGGAGGGAGAAATAGATAATTAATTAGTAATAACCTTAGGGATTGTAAGATGTTTAGCGACAGTTAATAAGTTCACTGAAAGCTCACAATGATAGGGATACAGAAATATAGGAATAAAGTTATCCAATAATTATGCAACAAAAATATAGATAATAATAACCTGAAAAAACATTAAGGAGGAAAATTACATTTGTAAAAATCCCATCGATTGAAATTTAAGTAAATCCAACGTTTTTCTCGACAACCTAATCCAAACATTTTTAAGGAAATATAATCAAACATCAAAATTATCGAATATAAACACATGGTTTACCGGTTAATTGTATACTAAACGAGTCATCCAATCATGTTAACAATGTTGAAATTGAGATGTGTTGTAGTGCGTATAGAACACTTGGTATGAAAAGTGGCGAAAATTGTGTCAAGATAAGAGTTGTATACATGTGTATGTAAATCTGGTACAAGAGAAAAAATCACTGACTATATATCGCCTTTGACTAGAAATGTTTGATGAAGTCAAACAATTTGATGGATAATAAGAATCAAACATGTCACAACATGTATAGAACGAAGATAAATAAACAAATAAATGCAAGTCTGTGTTACTATCTTAATCAAGCTGATTGCTCATGGTATATTCGGATAAACCAGCTGATTATGTTGAGCGACTTGTTTAGTGTACAATTAACCGGTTAACCATGTGTTTATATTCGATAATTTTGATGTTTGATTATATTTCCGTTAAAAAGGTTTGACCAGATTGTCAAGAGAAACGTTGGATTTACTTAAATTTCAATCGATGAGATTTTTACAAATATAATTTTCTTTCTAAATGTCCTACATTAACTCGGTGCCTAACTACTAGTTGTCCAAATTCAGCTAAAAGTTCTCGTAAATTTGAAAAACTGTCCTCAAATTTTCAGCCTTCCCAATGTTCCCAATAACATATTACGCATTCCACTTGTTCCATTATTTCATTAAACTGAAGGTGACAATCAATAAACCAGTATCATTAGTGCAAATGGTCTATAAATATCATTGAATTCTATTATTTACACCGTGAACTTGCAGTTTATGCTACTTATATTGACAGATATAAGTAGTACGTGACACCGATTGAAAGTGGAATTCATGCCTGCAGAAGACTGGGAAGATCCAATTAAAAAAACAGAAACTAATAGTAATAACAACGGAATTGAAAGAATCATGAAGCATGTAGACAATAACTGATGGAAAATGTGTAAATCATGCATTTAGTGTGTGGTTTTCATATTTTACCAAAGCACTATCATTTTGCACTAAACAGTAAAATTGGTTATCTCCACTCGAGTCTTCGTTCATCGCAGACTGATTAAAGTTAGAAAATCACTGAAACAACAGGAAACAATGGACATATGTTTTATCCTAGTATAGAACACTTCAACAATATCCCTCTATGACCTAGAGTAGAAGCGAACACAACCTTATAATAAACATTTACTTAATTTCCAAGATCATTGGTATTGGAATAATTTAAGTAAATTGTTAGTAAGTTTGTTTTATTTTTCTCTGTTCTGAATACAATCTATTTTACACATTGAAAACATTCAAAGTTTATTTTTCTTTATTGCTTTTAAATATTTAGTCTGCCAAATACCTTCAACTGTTCCAAATATTTCTCATATATAAGAATATAATAATAAACATACAATAACTTGTATTATATAAACTTTTTTAATGCCAAAACAATCAAAATACTGTAGGTTAACTAATGAAAGAGTAAAGTAGTTTAGATTATATGTTAGTTTTCATGAATCATACTAAATTTATTCAAGAATAAATGGTAAAAAAAACAAAGATACAACGACAACAAGGAATAAATTTAAGTGAGAAATTTAAAAAAAATCATTGATTGGCTTGTGTGTTAAGAATGATAGTTTTCAGGATCAAATGCCAAACTATTTTGTAATTCATTATGGAACTGAAGTTGAAAAAATAATCGAACTATGCAATGAATTCATTTGAGATTAAAATTAAATCAACATTTGTTTAAGTTACTTGTTAAATGAGTTCTGTATATTCTTTATGTTTACTGCTAAATCTCAAAGAGATTGGTTCGATCCTTGAAAGTGAGAGTACCCTTACTAGGATCACAAGAGCTGTCCAGTCCATTCTTGTTTTCTATCGTAACCCAGATGAGATCGATTTATTTGTTTTATGATATTTAGTAATAAAATCATTCCCATTATTTGTTCTTTATATTGATGTTCACGTCGCCCGTGAAAATGATTGTAATGTGCTTAAACCTCTATGTACATCCCATTCCACAAGTGAGATTGTAAAAACATAAAATGTTCAGTCGTTATTGTTATTGACCCCATTCATTAGACTTGACCACTTGCTCCTAATTTACACTTACACCATCTCTGGTAACATTAATTAATTGAAATAATATCTAACCCGAGTAGTAGATCATTAAACAAGCTGACACACAGATCACAATAGACCAATCATAGTAATTATTGCTTTTATTGTTCTGTGATCTTTGTTTTCGTTTCAACTTTTCCAGTTGAGGATGATTATGATGACTGTGTTGTGAAACTGGAAATGACGTGAAATGCATTGTTCATACATCAACAGTATATCCACTCAGTGCGAATTAATGTTTGAGGTTACTGGTGCCTCTCGTTTCTATAACTCATGTGAAAACTGTACTACCTGGAGAAATTTTGAAGTGTAACAGTTCAAACAATGTAATATCCCATATATCCTGTACGTTTAATATCTCTGTCTGTATCGAAACGATCATGACTGTAAAGTGGTATGAATTATGTAATTATATATATATATATATATATATATATATATATATATATATATATATATATATATATATATATATATATATATATATATATATATTCATTTCATGAATGCTTTTCCACTGTTGATAATTACCATACTGACCGGAGTGATAATTTCATTTCTTATCAAAACCTGACTAAATCTGAAAATTTCCAGAAACTTATTTATCATCAATCACGTTACAATATTATTACTGGTCATGTTTATTCGATGTCACAATGCACTTTTTTGATGAAAAGTGGAATTAGGTCTTGTGTTAATCAATTAATATAATTCTTATAGTACAGAGCTTAATAATTTTATTTATTCTTGAAATAAAAATCAAATAGAGACAGGGAGATTAAGCAGCATAATATTGAAATAATCAAGTCACTCTAAAATCATATTTAATTGTGACTGGTCCAATATATGAGCACATTAACCTAGAGGGCAATCATAGACTATTTATTGACCGATCAACTGAGTTGTAAGTGCTTGTTTGAATGGATTTCTGTCATTGTACTACATGTTTAGGTTGATTACAATAAATGGAAGGATATTTTTAAATTCTAATTTGCACACATCTAGACAATACATTGATTTGAGCATAAAACTGATAGTAATATAAGCATTTTGGAAAGGATATCACATAATATATGAAGAAATTTCTCTCCATATTAATTATCGTAATAAATCTGTATAAATATATGGCGATAGCATAGATATAGCAATCTAGATATTCTTTTTTGCGTTCCTAATAATAGTTTACTTTAAACAACTATTCATAATCCTTCATTGTTATAAAAAATTTTCACTGATAGAATTAGTTGGTAAGAGTTATGTTATGCTGACGACCTTGGGCAACTTATTAGCCAGTCAGAAAACACGGCTTAGGTATAAAACAGTTAATAGTTAAGATGAAGTGAAGTTATGGTGGACTAATGATATTGATATGTCAATTGGTCCATTATGGCAAAGGGAAAAAGGTTAATTTTACATATTGTGAGTTGAATAAATTTGTGAATTATGGTTATAATCTTGTAGGATCGTCGTTACAAATCGACATCAGCTAAAATACCTAAAGGTTTATTTGAGTTAGGTAATTAAGGTTAAGAGTTATATGTTAAGATTATAAGTTAGGGTTAGTATTTTCACCAAGGACTTACATAAGTCGGTAATTTGCAACCTTTTTATTAACATCCAGTTGATATTTGGAGTCAGGAATTAAAGTGGGAGAATTTTATCTATCTACACAAATACTACTGACCCTGAATTGGATCACGCCAAGTACTTTTATACACAATTTGCATTAGGAGCAGTTATTTCTTGTAACTAACTCCGCCTGGAGTCCCTTTCCGGAGGCTACTGCCGGTCCCAAGCCCGGATAAAGGAGGAGGGTTGGGCATGGGGTTAGCGACCCCATCCCGTAGAAAACTAACTCGCTAAAAAAACGTTAACCAGAAAAAATTATTCAAACCATTTAAACTCTGCCCTGGGTGTCAGGAGGTCTTCGTTTAGAAGAATTATGACGCCTCATGATGAAAGCCGAGTTTCTTCGGAAGTCACGAGGCCGATGCCCCTTCTGACAACCAGAGCAACCATTTATTTAGGTACATGGGATGCTCGCACAATGTGGGAGACTGGGAGAGTTTTCCAAATTGCTGCAGAAATGAGGAGATACAATTTAGAGGTGCTTGGGATCAGTGAAACACATTGGATGCAAGTTGGACAACAACGACTAGCTTCAGGGGAGCTGCTGTTATACTCCGGACATGAAGAAGAAAATGCCCCACATACACAAGGAGTTGCATTGATGCTGTCCAAACAAGCACAAAATGCACTTATAGGATGGGAATCTCATGGACCAAGGATCATCAAAGCCTGCTTCAAAACAAAGAAAAATGGCATTACAATGAATGTCATCCAATGCTACGCGCCTACCAATGACTACAATGAAGACGCTAAAGATCAATTCTACGATAGGCTGCAGTCAATCGTCGAGAAGTGCCCAACTAAAGACCTGACTATTCTGATGGGAGACCTAAATGCCAAGGTTGGAATTGACAACACCGGATATGAAGAGATCATGGGACGACACGGACTGGGAGAAAGGAACGAAAATGGTGAGAGATTTGCAAATCTATGTGCCTTCAATAAACTGGTCATAGGCGGGACTATATTCCCACATAAACGCATACACAAAACCACATGGACTTCACCGGATCACAGCACACAGAACCAAATCGACCATATCTGCATCAACAAAAAGTTCAGGAGGACGTGAGAACAAAGAGAGGAGCTTATATAGCATCAGATCATCACTTGCTGGTCGCCAAGATGAAATTGAAACTCAAGAGGCACTGGACAACGGGGAGGACAATATCCCAAAAGTTTAATACGGCTCTTCTTCGGGATACTGACAAACTCAATAAATTCAAGATAACCCTCAGCAATAAGTTCCAAGCCTTTCATGATCTACTCAATGGAGAAGGAACTACTATGGAGAGCAACTGGAAAGAGATAAAAGAGGCAATCACTTCAACATGTCATGAGGTTCTGGGCCAAAAGAAGCACCATCACAAGGATTGGATCACGGTCGATACACTGGATAAGATTCAAGAAAGGAGGAACAAGAAAGCAGCAATCAATACCAGTCGAACAAGAGCAGAAAAAGTCAAGGCACAGGCTGAATACACAGAAGTAAACAAGCAAATGAAAAGGAGCATCAGAACTGACAAACGTAAATATGTCGAAGATTTGGCATTGACGGCGGAAAAGGCTGCGAGAGAAGGAAACATGAGACAACTGTATGACACGACAAAGAAACTCTCCAGAAATCACCTTAAACCAGAACGACCAGTGAAAAGCAAGGAAGGCAAGATAATCACCAACATTGAAGAACAACGAAACAGGTGGGTAGAACACTTCAAAGAACTCTTGAATCGACCAGCCCCACTGAACCAACCCAACATCGAAGCAGCACTCACGGACCTCCCAATTGATGTTGGCGCACCGTCAATTAAAGAAATCAGCATGGCTATCAGACAAATCAAGAGTGGCAAAGCAGCAGGACTAGACAGCATTCCAGCAGAGGCACTGAAAGCAGACGTAGCGGCAACTGCAAGGATACTCCACATTCTCTTCAGAAAGATCTGGGATGAGGAACAGGTACCAAAAGACTGGAAAGAAGGACTTCTAGTCAAAATACCAAAGAAAGGCGATCTCAGCAACTGTGACAACTACAGGGGAATCACTCTTCTTTCAATACCAGGAAAAGTCTTCAACAGGGTATTGTTAAACAGGATGAAGGACTCCGTAGACGCACAACTTCGAGACCAACAGGCAGGATTCCGTAAGGATAGATCGTGCACAGACCAAATCGCAACTCTACGGATCATTGTGGAACAATCAATTGAATGGAATTCATCACTCTATATCAACTTCATCGACTACGAAAAAGCATTTGATAGCGTGGACAGAACAACCCTATGGAAGCTTCTTCGACACTACGGCGTGCCTCACAAGATAGTCAATATCATACAGAATTCTTATGATGGATTAAACTGCAAGATCGTTCATGGAGGACAGTTGACAAAGTCGTTCGAAGTAAAGACCGGTGTCAGGCAAGGTTGCTCACTCTCACCCTTTCTCTTTCTCCTGGTGATCGACTGGATCATGAAGACATCAACATCTGAAGGGAAGCACGGGATACAGTGGATAGCTAGGATGCAATTGGATGATCTAGACTTGGCAGATGATCTGGCTCTTCTATCGCATACGCAACAACAAATGCAGGAGAAGACAACCAGTGTAGCAGCAGCCTCAGCAGCAATAGGTCTCAATATACACAAAGGGAAAAGCAAGATTCTCCGATACAACACAGCATGCACCAATCCAATCACAATTGACGGAGAAGATTTGGAAGATGTAAAATCCTTTACATATTTGGGCATTATCATCGATGAACACGGTGGATCCGATGCACATGTGAATAAGCGGATCGGCAAAGCAAGGGCAGCATATTTACAATTGAAGAACATCTGGAACTCAAAACGATTGTCAACCAACACCAAGGTCAGGATTTTCAATACAAATGTGAAGACAGTTCTACTGTATGGAGAGGAAACGTGGGCAACCACGAAATCCATCATCCAGAAGATACAAGTGTTTATTAACAGTTGTCTACGCAAAATACTTCGGATCCGTTGGCCGGACACTATTAGCAACAACCTACTGTGGGAGAGAACAAATCAGATCCCAGTGGAGGAAGAAATCAGGAAGAAGCGCTGGAAGTGGATAGGACACACATTGAGGAAAGCACCGAACTGCGTCACAAGACAAGCCCTCACATGGAATCCTCAAGGTCGAAGGAAGAGAGGAAGACCAAAGAATACATTACGCCGAGAAATGGAGATAGATATGAGAAAAATGAACAAGAATTGGATGGAACTTGAAAAGAAGGCCCAGGACAGAGTGTGTTGGAGAATGCTGGTCGGCGGCCTATGCTCCATTGGGAGTAACAGGCGTAAGTAATTTCTTGTAACTTAGTTTAAGCGCATTATTATACTCACTGTTTAGTTGCACAGTGTATATATTTGTATTAATTTAAAGCGTTTTAAGAACCAAATATTGTCAATTTTTCGAGCAAAAACCGACGAGGTGATATCTTAACTCTGATTGGTTAATTCAAGGCCGTCAGTATAACATACTTCTACCAGTTAGTTTATAAGTGCATTTTTAAATTGATTTTGGCAAATATGAAAATTCATCAAAGAGAACTGATGAAATAATGTGTGTGTATGTTATAATAAGTTGTTAAACGTACTTTTTTGTAAAAAAAATCTGTCAAATGGAGACAATTCAAGAGGTGACAATAATCGACAGTTGTTTGAGATACTATAGTAGTTTGGTTCCAGGACATGGTCAATGATTTCACATTTCGAACTTTAGAAACTATGTAGTATAAAACGATCATTATCTATTGTCATGGGTAACTTTCCATCTTACTTCCTTTTGAGTGAGTTCTCAGGTTATAATTTCACTGAATAATTCATCTGAAAGTTACTCGGAGTAGTGAACATACGATTGCTAAATGTATTTGTAACCCTGATTCCGGGTCAAACATAGTCGAATTTTGGAATGTTATATTACAAGATGACAACTCACTTGAATGTTGAACTGGAAAATAATCGAAAATGGAATGCGCCGGTGCTTCTAGACAAAAAAGCATTTAATTGGATCGCCGAATACCATATTCATTCGAGACTAGTTCATTATATGGATCTAATCTGTGGTAAATTTAATGGAATCATAGTAGTTTCAAGTAGTTTGTCTTCAAATAATACTTGCTACTAATAGTTTTTTCCCTAGACTGGTTGTACGATCACTAATCTTGAGTGATAAATAGCTCGTTAGTCTAATTATCTAATGAATCTAACAATCACAAATAAAGTGTGCTGTAATTTGTTACTGTGTCATCAAACATACATTAAAATCTTGCCTGTGACTTCGGAATTTCGTTTTATTTAAGCAGCGAATACTGGACAAACGTTGTAACAAAACGAAATGTTATTTTGTAGAAAGTTGGACTTCTATCCTAACTTCTAAGAAATGAAGTATGAAAGATAATTTTTGCCTCTGTTTTTATATCCCAAGCGTCAGTACTATTTAGTATTTAAGTGAAATAAATCAAACTGAACTAGCCTGTCGCATAAGTAAACGCGGTTTTATTAATTAAATTGTCATCTTAGGAAGATAATCGGTAGGAGCGAAAAATTAGACATTAATTATCATTCAGTGTTTGCATTAAATTCGATTTTGTTAAGGTAAATTAAAAAAACTATCATCCTGTCTAGTTCACAGTACTACTGTTGGTTTATCGATTAGTTTTATATTGTTCTTATTAAGCTAATCGATTTGATGTTGTGATGACCTGTAATTAGTATTTGTCGATTAGGAAACTTTGAAGAAATCACGTGGTGAGATTAAAATAAACTTGAATAACTGAATAGTAACTTCTTTCAAAATGATACATGTTCAAATAGTAGCACAAATTTTATTGAAGCTGTGAATGATGAAAGTGAAGTATGGGTACGATCCAATCAAGCTTCAAAAGTGTTTTTAAGACCACAGAGCATACTTCGAACAAGCATGTTGATTATCGATTATATGTTTTCTAATTTCGACGAAAATGTTCTAATAATGTGATTAAAAGACAAAGGATTGGTTTTGAACTCCTTCTTATCAGAGGGAGTAATGTCAGCGGAGTATCAAGTCAAACGTGAAATGCTGTACTACGGTATCAACCATGTACGCAGAAGAAGCTTCTCATGATTGGATTAGTCCATAAGAGCTAACTACGTTTCCGTTCATTCAGAAGTAACTAATAGGTAACGAATGCTTTTGATAGTGAACTGGGTAACACTAACACTAGTAGCTTGTGTACCCGCTATTACTGATGGAAGGAGAAGTCACTAGTGTTCACTGATGTTCATATGTTAAGGAAATGTAATGGAAAATTTCTATGAAAACAACACCATGGGCAAGTAGGTAATAAAATCGTGGAGACT